TGAATTTCTTAAAAATTTTTTCATAAATGAAACTGAAAAACATATTTTATATGATTCTAATCCCTTTAAATTTATTGAGATGCTTTTTATGGCCTAACATATATTCAATTTGGAGATTTTTCCACATATACTTACAAGAATATGCTTTTGGCTCTTGCTAGGCACAGTGCTCTGCTAATATCTGTTAGGAGCACTGAAGTCTTCAACTATTATTGTTGCATCATCAATTTCTCCCTTTATTCAGCCAGTTAGTTTCCTGTATTTGGGGGCTCTATTGCCAGGTGCATACATATTAATGATTGGTATGTATTCCTGATGGATTGATCCTTTTACCATTGTAAAATGCCCCTCAAGCTCCAGAAACATTTCAAGCATTTCTGGTATTAGTATAGCCACTCCAGGTTTGATATGCTTACAGCTTGTATAATAGAACTATTTCCCCATTTGTATCTTTGAATCTAAAGTGTGTCTTCTATAGACTACATACAATTTAATCTGTATTTTAAATCCAATAGGATAATCTTTGCCATTTTATTGGCTTGCTTAATCCATTCACATTTTGCAATTTTTTTAGATTATATATATAATTTTTAAAAATTAAATTATATACATATATATGTGTGTGTGTATATATAATTTTAGCTGTTGATGGACATTTATTTTATTTATTTATTTATATGTGGTGCTAGAAATTGAACCCAGCACCTCACACATGCCAGGCAAGAGCTCTACCACTGAACCACACAACTCCAGCCCTACCCTTTGCAATTTTGATAATAGTTGGAGATACGTCTTCCCTTTAACTTTTTTTCTATATTTCTCATGTCTTCTGCTCTTCTTTTTTTCTCCTTTTCTGCTTTCTTTTGCATTGAAAGAATATTTTCTCACGTAAGATTTTAATTCCTTAAGGAGTGCTGCCCCCGACCTGTGTGGGCAGCTGAACTTAAGGTCGCTGGTGTGAATTTCCAGGGACACCAAATAAAACACAGATACACACTTTACCTTTACACAAGCTTCAGGAGGGCTTCTCTGCTCTTGGCCTCAGGCTCCCCAAATGGGAGAGCAAGAGAAGGTCACGAGAGGCTGGCAAGAGAGAGGGAGCACGTTTGGAAGTGGGCTTTTATTGGGGGGACGCTTGTTCTTAGAAAGTTCCATCCAAAAAAGGCCAGAAGGGTCAGGGTTACAAGGGACAGGTGAATGTAATTCAACCCAAGGAGTTTCACCTACATCTGAAGACACACCCTCAACTTTCTGAACCAGGACAACGCCTAAGTCACAACAAAATGTAATTATCCGCCAAAGCCTCTCGCTTCAGGATGGAAGGCGGGAGTCATTCAGAGTGGCTCCCCACAAAGGAGTCGTAGGACTCTAGGACTCACCATACACATCCTAATTTATGAGACTTCAATTCAGTTTTATACTAGCTGAAGTAAGATACAGAAATAATCCTCTAAAGCTCTGTTCTTTCTTCTGAGCTTATTGTTATGTATATTGCATTCATATATTTGAAAGATCCCAAAATATATTGTTATAATTGTTACTTATATTAATTTGTCCTTTTTAGAGAAAAAGTGAAATCAAGAATATTTTTATAGAGTATGTTCTACTAACCTTCTTATTTTCCATTTGTGGTTCTCTTCCTTCCTTTCTGTGAATTTGAGTTACCATGTGAAGTGATTTCCTTAGCTCACTACAGCTGTGCTCCTAACCACCACTTTTCAGCAGATTTTGTTAAATATATTACATTTCTGTATGAGATAAGAATATAATAAATGTTGTTTTATGCAGTTACTTCTAAATTCAGTTAAGATAAGAAAAAGGACTGAATATGTATTTATTTTGTCTTTCATAATTACATAATTACCCACAGTACTCTTTGATTTTCAATTATTCTTTTGAACCCAAAGAACTTAACATATTATTTATTGTAAATTGAGTTTTCCAGCAATAATCATTCAGTTTTTAATTTCCTGGGACTTTCTTTATTTCACCTTCATTTTTAAAAGATAGTTTTGCTGAATGTAACATCCCTGGTTGACATTTTTTTATCCTTTGAGAACTCTGAATATGTCATCCCACTGTCTTCAGGGCATCCATTGTTTCAGGTAGGAAATAGGCTGTTTATCTTATTATTCTTCTCCTATCTCTAAATCAGTTTTCTCTAGTGGCTTTCAAAAGTTTGTCTGTGTTTTTAGAATTTTCACTATGATGTGTCTTGGCATGTCTCTCTTTGCATTTATTCTACTTGGAGTTTTTTGAGCTTGTTGGATATATTATTTAATATCTTTCTCTTAAATTATTGAAGTTTTCAGCCATGATTCCATCAAGTATTTTTATGGGCTCCTTTTTCTCTCTACCACTCCCAATACTTGTATGTCATATGTTTAGTAGTATTTCACCTTTCTCTAAGACTCTGTGCATTTTCTTTAATATTTTCCTCTGTTCTTCAAATTGCATAATTTTGATTAAATCATTTTCAACTTTGCTAATTTTTTATTTTACCAATTTAGAATCAACCGTTGGGTCCCTCCATTCAATTTTTCATTTCAGTTCTCTTACCTTTTGTCTTGAGAATTTCCATGTGGTTCTTGTGAATAATTTATGTTTCTCTATGGACAATCTCAATTTCGTGAGGCATTGCTATCACACCTTTATTTCTTTAAACATAGCCTCCTTTTGTCCTTTGAATGTGTCTATAACAGTTGTCTTGGGGTCTTTGTAAAATTCAATATCTGGGCTCGTCAGAGGCAGTTTCTGTTATCTGCTTATTTCTACTGGATATGGCTCATGGTTTCCTTTATCTTTGCATATTTCATAACTATTTTTATTAAGAACTGCATATTTTAAGTAGTGATTTTGGGTACTGTTCTCTCCTTTCCCTAGATTTTGTTTCTTTTGTATTCACTTGTTTGTTGGGTGACTTTGGTGGGATGTTTGTAATGGAGTCTTCTTCCCCTGTAATGTAAAAGCTCTGATGTTGTTCCTAAGAGCACAGTCTTGGGCATGCATACATTCACCCTGGGATTACAATGATTTGGGCAGAGCTCTCTTTGTCTCTTTTCCTGATCTCTCTATTAAGTTGTCTGCCTCTTCTGGTATCACACCCAGATGGTAGGCTTCACTCATGTCTGGATGTCTGCTCTATTGTTTTGATAATGTCCTAGAGCATACACTACTCCACAGTATTATCCAATTAAATTGAAGCTCCTTTGCAAGGGCAATCTTTGAAGCCAAGCTTTAAGGCTTGTTCTAATCCCTGGAAGCCTCTTTTCAATTGTCTTTTTCTCTGGTTTTCTTGGCAAACTTTCTGGCCCACAGTTTAACTTAATGCTTTTATGAAACTATCAACCTCCTCTTAATTGCTTAAACCTAAACTATTATTTTTCAGAATGTTTGCACTTAAATTTCCCCACTGCCTGTTTTAAATAAAATAAATTTCTCTTGGGAGAGCTTTGGAGCTATTCTTGTGGACTCTCTCCCTAGGCAAAATCTCTTGTGTCTGCCCTAGAGCTGGATACGGAGATAGTTGTCCACTTCTCTGTGACAGGTCTCTCTTTTATAATCAGAGTGCTAAGCGAGGGTGGCCCTGGTCTTCTCTGCTGGTGAACTTCTTCTCCAGAGTGAACTATTATGAAGGTATTCAGGCCCTGGTATTCTTCGCTGTGACACCTTCTGTATGCATCTGTCTTCTGTATAGAGGCTGGATGGAGGAAGGGTCTCCAGACATCCTTATTGCACTCACCAGAAGTTTAGCCTTTGAAATCTGGTGCTTGAGGTCATAAGAAGTGCTGGCCGTTCACCCTTCTTGTGAGAAATCATATCCCTTGACTGGGGTCCAATGGAGGAGAAAGCCCCAGATTCTTAGTTTCATCCCCACCATGCAGCTCCCATCACAGTGAGCTTAGAGCTGGGGAGCAGGTCAAGCATGGTTCAAGCATCACAGACTCTTTATTATGGTTTGCATAGGAGGTGTCCCCCAAAAGTTCCTGTTAATGAATGAATATTCAGAGGTAAAATGATTGGATTATGAGAGCTATAACCTGATTCATTCAAACTAGTCCATTCAAACTAGGATGAGGCAGGTGAGGCATGGCTGAAGGAGGTGGGTCCCTGGGAGCTGCCCTGGAGGGGTGGTTCTTCCCTGTGGCCTCGTCCCCTTCCCTCTCTGCTTCTTGACCCCACCATGAGCTGAGTGTCTTTCTTCCACTGGTCTTTTCCCCCATGATGTTCTCCTTCAACTTGGGCCCGGAGTAATGGAGTCAGCTGTCTATGGACTGAGATCTCTGAAACCATAGGCCCCAAATAGCTTCTCCTCATCTAAATTACTCTTGTTGGATATATTGGTTATGGAAACAAACAAACAAAAAAGATGACTAGAACACTCTTACTACTCTTAATGAGATTTAGTAGATTTTCCTGAGTAAATGTTTCTTTATTCGTTGTATATGCTTTAAAGATGATTTTCAGAGTCTTAAAATTATCATTTTTATTTTTAATACCTACTGTTACTTCTCTGAAGACTAGATCTGCAGAGTTCCTCAAGCTTCCATTCCTAAAAATAAGTCCTTATCCATATTTTTTAAAACTTTTGTTAGGAAGGAATCTTCCATGTCATAAATTTAGCCGTATGAAGAATTTTTTTATTATTGTTAAATCATTCTCATTGTGATAGATTCAATTTGTTTTCAAAGTTTTGACACTTTTATCATTAAGAGGTAGGGGCAAAGGTCATGCTCTGTGACTTCATGACCAGTAGAGGACGATGGAGGTGACCCAGTGTTTTATTTCAGGTCCTGATATAAGAGATCAGGATAATTCCTGCCTCTTGCAAACAAGTTACCCTGTTGTGAGAAAGCTCAAGCGATTCCCTGGAGAAGCCCATGAGGAGGAAAATTGAAGACCTCAGACAATCACTCTGATAGTCAGCATTTTGTTAACTGTTAAAACTTTTTTTTTTAATGAGACAATCAATTTAAAAAGAGGAAAGATTTATTTTGGTTCAAAGTTCTAGAGGTTTCAGTCCATGACTAGTTGTCTCATTGCTTTTGGGCTTCTGGCAAGGTAATATATCTTGGTAGGACATCTGGTGGAGGAAGCTGCTAACGTGGTGGCTGGAAAGCAAAGAGAAAGTGTGTGAACACACATGGAAGAGACAGAGCCCACCATCCCCTCCAAGGGCACACCCCCAATGACCTTCAGGGGCACACCCCCAATAACCTAAGACCTCCCTTGGAGGCCCCACCTCTTAAAGTTCCCACTGTCTCCAGGAGTGTCGGGCGGGTAACCAAGCTTTTAACACGTAGGCCTTTGGAGGACATTCTAGACCCAAACTCTAGAGATAGCCATAAACCGTCAACACCAATCTACCACCATGTGGGTGACCTCTTTCAGAAGGGAGTTCTTTACTATTAACACCAGGTAGAGCAGAGGCAAGTTGTTCTCAATAATCAAATTTATATGTAAAACAAGTGACCATTTTTATTTTGAACCATGCTATGCAGCAATAGATAACTAGAGCATTCAAGAAAATCATTAAATATTATGACATAGTTTTCCATCACACACACTTCCTTAACTCTTGTCCTCTGGCTCTCCTTGGTATATCTGAATAGCAGTTGCAAAACAGAGGCTCAAAAGAGGTTAGTAAATAAAGATAATTATTGGCACTGTAATGGTTTCCAAAGTATCCATTCTGTCACTTTATCATTGATAGCAGCAAAGTGGTTTGGTTGTGATTGACTTTACTCCAATATGCAGAGGGGAGGTGCTGACTGGCAATCAATAAGATATTTTGAATTCCTTTGGCTATATTGATTAAGTAGTAGCAAAAAAAAAGAAGAAGAAGAAGAAGAAAGAATTTGGAGTTTGATTTCTTGTTTGGCAACTATTTTCAATTGCCTGACTAAGGGCTAAGCACTTTTATTCATATATTCTGGCCTCCTAAGTGTCCCCTTAGGTTAGACTTACCATTTTGTTTATTATTGTTGTTGTTGTTAGCTGTGCTGGGGATTGAATTCAGGACCTAGCACGTAGTAGGTAAGTGCTCTATGACGGAGCTATATCCCCAGCCCCAGTCTTACCTTTTTAGGCTTCAATTTATTCATCTGTAAAGGATAGGATAATGAGATTTGACTAAATTATTTTGGAGATCTCTTCCTGCTCTCCTGTTTAGACTTTATTTTTAATATAAATACTGTCATCCCTCCAGCATTGGTAATTCAATTACGCACTCATTAACTAAAATCAATTGGGTATTTACTAGTTATGTGCCGAAATTAAAAGGATAAATAGGACATGATCCCTTAACTTAATGAGTTCATAGTCATTAGTAAAATAGATATGTAATATCACTTATTGCACTATATTAACTAACTCTAATATAGTGCAATAAGTGATATTAAATATGTGCATAACAAATTTAATAGCTGTGGAGTATGGACCAGGAAAGCTTTCCAAGAAGAAATATAAAGAAATATACTTGCTCTGGGCCATGCAGAGGAATATAAAGTTTAGATAATAAATACATAGAAAGTTTAGAAGAAAGAGAACCTATTTTGGATATAGATAACATTAATTGCAAATGGGAGAAAGCACTCATAATTAATGATAACAATAAGATAACATCAATAACTAACGTTTTCTGAGTGTTATGAATATGTCCCCAAATTTCACACATTGGAAACCTGGTCCCTAATGCAGCTGCATCAAGAGGCAGGATCTTGCTGGGTGCAGTGGTGTATAATTGTAATCCCAGTGGTTCTGGAGGCTGAAACAGGAGGATCTTGAGTTCAAAGCCAGTCTCAGCAACATCAAGGCACTAGGCAACTCAGTGAGACCCTTTCTCTAAATAAAATACAAAATAGGCTGGGGATGTGTGGCTCAGTGGCAAAGTACTCCTAAATTCAAGCCCTGGTACTTCCCCCTCCCAAAAAAAGAGGCAGGATCTTTGGAAAAGATTGGTGGATCCCTCATGAATGTACTAATCCATTTGCTCTAGCTCGCCATGTGATACCCTTTGCTGTCATGACCCACATGGGAAACCTTCACTAGAGACTGAACAGATGTTCTTGGCTTGGAGACAACACTGTGGTTTTAGATTTTCCAGCCTCCAGAATTAAATAAATCTTTTTTCTTTATAAAATACTCAGTTTGTGGTATTCGGTTATAGCAACAGAAAATGAATTAAGACACTATTTATCACATGCAAGTTACCATTCTATTCTAGTTTAGGTGCTTCCTTATTCTGTACTTGACAACCTTATGAGGGACACCATCATTATCCCAAGTTTACTAATGAAAGCCCAGAGACAGCTTGGTTATACAGAAAGCAATCAGTTTAGGCTACAGCTTAGGCAGATTGCTCCTGAGCCATTTCACTACACAGCTTGTGTGAGGAAACTCCAGCAAGATACTATATTGGAGGACTCTTTTAAACTAGAAAGTAGGGTATATTTGATCAAAAAGTCAACAAAGGGAACATAGGTGTTTGAAATATTAAAAATAATTAGGATGTGATAAATAAAATTAAAGAAATAATATCAAAGGCATTGCCTTTGGCAGAAAGATGAAGGGGTGAGTGCTCCCCGTGCAGCCTTCACTCTTTGTAAGACAGCCCACATTTGGTGTGCTATGTTTGCAAATGTGAACAGCACATGCAGCRCCAGTCACAGTGCCCAGCACGTAACAGCTAGCTCGTAAGTTCTCGTTTCCAAAGGCTAGAMAGTTATAAAGAGAGAATGTACACAGAGATAAAACCACAGACATAAAGAGAGAATGCACACAGAGAGTAGTTGGGGAAGGACAAAATATTCTTCATACGAAATACCATTACTTTCATTTGTCAAGTGGCACTTATAAACTAGAGAAAAGTTGTTTTCCACAAAAGCATGATTTCAACTTTTCATCATTATAAACAAGCCTCTTTATTTTTGCTGGGATATTTGTTTTCTCACTTTAACAATCAATAATTGTAGTTACAAGGCTTGAGTGAGTATAGTTTTGAACTAAGAAACAAAAACTAGAAATATATATATWTTTTAAATCTTACTAAGTATGTCCTCTGGAAACACATTCTGCTTGGTGTTCTCTCGAAGAAGCAAGAAAAGAAGTATTACTTTCAATCTCACTCTTTAGAACTCTGGTCTAAAGAAGCACATGCTCTGGATTCTTTTTTTTTTTTTTTTTTTTTTTTTTTTGGCACCAGGGGCATTTATCCACTGAGCCATATCCCCACTACTTTTTTTTTTTCTTTTTGAGACAGGGTCTCACTAAGTTGCTTTGGGCTTGCTAAATTGCTGAAGCTGGCTTTGAACTTGTGATCCTCCTCACTGGGCTAACAGGCATGTGCCACCGTGCCCAGCTGGATTCTTAAGCAAACTTGATCTCTTAGCAGGATTTTCGGGATGATGTGCCTGGCAGCCCTACTGTCATTGAGTCCTTGAGACTCAGATTGATGTTAGCTCTGCGGAAGTCCCTCTTCCCTTCCCACAGGAAGGGAAGTGTCTGTCATGCCTTTGGGTGCACACTTTACTCTTAGATGGCCTGTCAAGCTTACCCCCGGAATACCCACCTGTGTCTGCCAGCTGCATAGGTGATGAGCTCCTTCCTCATGCTTGTGCTGTGTCACCCAGCAGGGAGAAGTCAGATATCCCAGACATGTTCATTGAATGAATGAGAAATATCAAATTTAAACTTTGCAAAAAGAGATATAGTAAAAGGAGACTACCTGTGGCATTCTTCAGACTGTTCCTGTTCCTCCTGTGTATATATATTAATGCCATCAATAGTATCTCCATGGAAGGAGTTATGTGGGAAGTTTAAACAGCAGCTGGAAATCCCATCTCTACAACGTGGAAGCATCTTTCAGCAGGAGGGCCAGGTACACCATCTATCCTTGCTGGTGACCTAATGCTGGGTTCACAAAATCTGACTATTCCAATTACTCAAGAAAACAACAAAGAAAGCACACAACCACACAGAATTACCTTTTCAATAATCCAGAGACGTCTCTTCGAACTTAAGGGTCYTTGGAAAGAGAGAGAGCCACCGGAATTCTTTTTTCTTATATAGGGAACACACAAGAGGAGGTTCCATGGAATATGATATCCCCAAAAGGGCAAAGGGGGAGGGTTACAAAGAAATCGGTAAGTAGCTCAACCCCCATGGGTGATACTTACACCTGGAGCCATGCCTTGCTATCTGAGCTGGGACAATGCCCAAGTCACCACGAAATGTAGTGATTGGTCAAAAAGAGGCTTGTGTTTCAGGACTGGAAGGCGTGGTCATTCCAAGCGGTTCCCCACAGCCAGGCACTTAGGCAAATATGTTGTTGATGGATCAGTTCTCCAAAAGAGATGGGTAGAGAGGTAGAGAGGTAGGAGAAAATGCTACAAATCAGGAAATTATTGTACATTTTCTTTGCCAGGAGACTCTAAGTAGCTCCCTTTTTAAAAACTTATCAGGGCTATCTATGTGTGTGTGTGTGTGTGTGTGTGTGTGTGTGTGTGTGTCTTTGCCAGTACCCCTGCATCATGTCTTTTTTGTTAACTTTAGAACACAAATGAGCTTATTATTTAGGGCAGGAGGATGGCACCTAGGGGAACAGCAAAGTTGCCTGGAGATAACCCCCTAAAGATCTGTCAGTGATCGTCACAGAGAACTGAGAACTAGAGTCTCAGGTGAACCCCAAAACCAAACAGTGTGAGATCAGGGAAACAAAGCAAGCTCCTCCAACTTCTCTTCTCTGTGCTATCCTCCGAGCACTGACAGGACTCCTAAATCTGGTGCCTTTGATGTTCTGGCCCAGACAGAGGAAGGGGAAGGTGGCTTTGTATCCAAGAGTGGCTGGGCCTAGGCCCTCTGCTTCCTGAAGTGAAGTGCTTTGCCCTCCAGATTCTCCCAACACTCAGCAGACCCCAGACCCCACAGTGTACTAATCATATTGTAAGAGTTAAATCACTAGCTACTGTACTTATTTGTGAGCTGATAATGTGCAATGGTGGGAAGTCACATTCTTTGGAGGAGGAGGAGGAGAGGAAGAGGAGAAATATGAAGAGGAGGGGAAGAGGGAGAGGAAGGAGGAGGAGGAGGAGGAGAAAGAAAAGATTGTTCTCCACAGTGCTAAATCCTAGCCCAGGCATGGCTTCAACCATTGAGAACTTACACTGGAGACTTGGGCTTCAATCCTGCCAATGTAGAAACCACCAGGCTCCAGTCCCTTTCTCTTCCCTGCCCCCAGCTAATTTCCTGCCATTACCTTGCAGGAAGGCTTTTATGGCAAGAGGGAATGGGGCAGAGCAACGAGGATGGGTAGAGAAGGATGCAGCTGCCCAAGGAACTAAAGAGCCCTTTCTCCCTACCACTGGGTCAGCCCATCCAGGGTGTGGCCCCATTGGCTGGAAGCTTGGGCATCTCCTGACAACAAGCTCTGGGTGTGGGCAGGGATGTCTTGTTCTGAATTTTTCCAAGTAGCTCCATAGAAGCTATGGTGAAGGAGGTACCAGAGCATAGGGGTAGAATCAAGTTGGTGACTGGCTGATGGGCTGGTCATGTGCGTGTGATATATTCCCTTTAGACATGCTCAGAAATAACTAGGGAAACTTTGAAAGAGGGGAAACAGACCTTAGTTACTGTGATGGAAAAATTTTTACATATGTATCTGTCTGTACATATGTATATATGTAGGTGTGTGTGTGTGTGTATATATATATATATACATATATAATAAAAGCATGCTACATTTTACTGTATCAATATGACATCTTATTATTCCTTATTAAATTTAAGCTTACATATAGGTAAGACTTTATACAGGAGAACATATAGGGAAAATATTTATGAATAAAAGAATAGAGTAAAAATAGACCTTTTAGGGCACTGAAACCTCATGTACCTTGCATATCAAAAGAGACAATAGATGAGTTGATCCTGTTGCCTCATTTTGCATTTAAAATTGTTATCCATTCCAATTTACATAACAAGTTGCTGATAAAATATCAATTTTTTAAATATCAATTTTTATAAAGCATGTCCAGCATGAGATTGTTTTCACTAAAGCTCCTGTCTTTCTCTTAGCTATATGATCATGGTGTTATTTTATAATCATTTCCTTTAGGACTGAGGTTCTATGAGAAAATCTTACCGTGAATGATGGCACCAGAGTTCAAGTACATGACTTTCTTCTCCCAGAGGCTGAGATGCTGGCAGTTCCTCCTCTCTACAGGGACCTTCCCTCCAGACAATGCAAAGCTGCCTTCCTAGGCTTCAACCTCCTTTACTCAGAGCTGCCACGTTATTTTCCACCTGAAGAATCAGTTTTAACTCAGTCCAGAGGAACCTTACACTTGGGAAATCTACGTTGAGTCACTTGAGTACCAGAGTTCACAGCAGATTTCTACATAGTTTCATCTATAACAGGGGCTCCTTTAAAATCAGAAAATTTAAAAGACCCAGCCATTGCCCCGACAAACTCCATTTTGTTCCTATGATCTTTTCTTTTAAGTCATTTCTCTGACCAAGTTTCCTACAGGCAGACATCTCGTGCTGAGAATGGAAGCTGAACAGAAACTGTTCCCCAAGTCCTGGTACCGGGAAGACACCCACACAACCTGCTGAGCCAGGTGTGCCACAGCTGGACCAGCCTGCAGGTACATATGCACATCTCTTGGCTCCCTGCTTTTGCTCTTCCCCTCTGTGATTCTGAAGCTGTCATCAGTATGGAGAAGACAGATTTCTAGGCTAGCTCTTATCCCAGTTTTGGCCCAGCTGAGAATGAATTCATTTCCTGCTTCAACACTGGTTCACTCTTCGTTAATGAAACTCTTGATCTTCAAGTCAAGCCTCTGGTTGGGGTCCCCAGTAACACTTCTACCTAAATCTTCCATTGGACACCAGTGTCTTTGTGATCCTGTCCCCAATTTCCAGTTCCATGATCAAAGAACTCTCTGACTGAAGTGTCCCTTTAGTTTTCTGACAGGGTCWCTTCTTTGTCTACTCTTCCCCCTAGAATGTCCCAACTCTTCCTAGAGGTCAAGGTCTTTAGGCTGCCTCTCCTGCTTGGTCCTCCTACTCCTCCACACTATGGCTAGTTGTCACCAGGTTTCTGTATTTGGCCTACTAGAGTGCCCCCCCACCCCCAATGCACCACTTAAATCCCTCTCCTCAGTGGGTTAGTCTAGTCTAGATAGCTTAACTTTAATGGGATCAAAAACCATTTAGGGAACCTGTTAAAAATTGGATTCTTGGGGCTCATCCCAGGGATTCTGATTCTATACGTCTAGGGTGAAACTAAGGAAACGTTTACATTCCCATTCAGGGTGTCTGTCACAAAACATTGATGTGGTCCCAGGTTTTATGTCATTTGGACCCATCCTGCTGAAGTTCATGGGCCTGGTCTCAGGAGTAAGCAGCATTCATATAGTAGGAATGGACCCTGAAACACAAAGAACCCCACACTGTTTGGGCCTGAGTTATTCCCTGAAATTGTTAGGGTCCTAGGATAGGATGAGAGCTGACCTTACGAATAGACATCTCCCTCCAAACCCAGAGTGGTTTCAGGCATTTCAAGAGTTTGAAGTGTGGTTTCCAAACCTAGTCACACATTAGAATGACACAAGGTATGTGACTGAAATATAGATTAAAGGGCCACAGCCCAAATTCTCAGTGAATTGACTTCTTCTGAATGGATTCTAGGACTTCCTGATTTACCCCATGCTTTTGATGAATCTGAGGCAATCCTGTGGTTGTTGGGTCTGCAATCAGGTACTCTAGGGATATGCACATTTCCTCCTGCCACCTAAAGTTCCACAGTTGGAGGTTTATCACTTTGTCTTAAAGGTTATTCTGTTAAACATACTAACATCCGTGGGAAAGAGGGTCTCTTCAAATGTCAGAGAATATAAATAATTAACACGAAATTATAACCATGATGTTTTGGGGAAGGTATTTAGGTATATTCCCCTTAGAACCATGAGGCTGCTTAGTTCTGCCTTGCTTCACACTTACCCACTGACACTGCTACCTCTGTAGCAAGTGCTTTCGTGTAGAATACTTCTTTTTACACATTTGCACCCCTCCAATAGACTGCAAAATCTTAAACAGGAAGCATCTAATTAGTTTCTGTATCTTAGACATTGTTCAACATGTGTGTTCAGTCAATGGTTGCTTAATCAACAGCAGAGAGCACCTTAGTCTACACACCCCAATGCTAGTGGGTTTATCAGTCCTTTTCCTCTGAGTAGATTTTGATATGGAGAACCTGAGGACATCAGGATGCCACCTCCTCTGGGATGAGAGAAAGCTGAAGACACATTAGACAGATGCCAAGTGGTCATCTCTTTTGCTGAGGTCAGCTCTCCCATGGCAGGATAGTTTTTAGCTGCCATAACACAGCTCTGCAAGGTTTGCTTTATAGACAAGCAGGAGAGGTTCCTAAGGCTTGTTTGCCCCCCAAATATTTAGTTGTTGATATCTGAATAAAAAACATCTGATAAAATGAGAAAAATTTCATTAACGAGGTGGCCAGCCATTCCACATCTGGAAGCAAAGTAGGGAGTTGATTTTATATTGGGGCAAAATACTCTTTCTTTCCTGAAAGAAAGAGGAAATAGGTCAATGGACAGTCATGCAGGGACCAGTTTAAATAGGAGGACAATTAAATGAGAAGGCAGGACGGGGTACCAACAGTATATTCCTTCCCATGTACTCTTCTGTCTAACACCAATCTAAGGAAGAGTGTGCTTTACACAGTAGGATGATTTTGAAGTGAGAGAAGTGGTCACAGAATATAGGTTTATAAACAAAGGAGTCAATCTGAAGAGGATGTTTGGAATTTATATTCAGAGACCAAATGTCATGACCATCCTGACCTTACCTTTGAATAGGTCCTTGCTTAGCATCTGGATGGCCATCTTAAGTGAAAACTGCCATTTTAAGGAAAAAATTTCTCTTTCCGGCCCAAGGGCATTTCTGAGAAAGGCTCACGACTTCTTCATATCAACCCAACCCCTAACCACCCACATCAGGACCCGCCTGGCTCTCTGATTCCTGAGC